CTGTATTTGGTAGGAAATATAGGGCATGTGAATCGCCTATAAGGAGAGGTTGGGACCTAGCTGGAGTAAGTGGATAAATTCATCGGGTCCATTCAACCTTTATTCTGATATGCGTTAGGCGGGCACATACGAGAGTGAAAGAAGATAAGAGCTCGATGTCGAACAACAGCCCTATGAACTTGAGACTGCTCAGAGTGAGCGGCAGTCGCGAGCTGCATTGTGCAATAGCTGACCCATTCATGATTGTGATAATGGTTAGCTCCTGAGGTGCTGGGAGGCCTGCTAACAAGAATTCAGGTTGGCGGACTCGTCGAGTAAACTGGATAAAGAGAGACGAAATTTGATTGACCTATGGCTGAAAGAGGTTTTGTAGTATATGTGTGAATCACCCGGGTAGCACATGAGTACTGACGAGAGGGGACATCCTCGCGATCGCTTGAGCCATGAGTTATGGCAGAAGGCTTGCACGCTGCCAGTCTCTGTGGTCGGCGTCCACAGTCCTGAGCGCGCACCGCAAATTGGGCATGCCCACAGCAACCTCCCTTCATCGCCGGCATATTCTGGTCAACAACATGGGGGCCAGCTTTGATGCGGGCGACAAGTGCTCGACTTCTGGGAGACAATAAACTGAAATATGAGATAGGACTTCAGTTGGCAAGCGCCAGAGAGCCAATCCGAGTCTCCTGTGCAAATACATAGACTAGATTATCGTGTCCTTCTGCTCGGTGGGTTGATGGCGAAGATTTTTGATACCCTCCACGACTGTTTCCAGGCCTAAGATATCGCGCACAACTGCATCCAACTGCTCCTGGCGTTCGGCGATGATGGTGCCGATGCTCTGGCCTTTGAGCTCGATGCACTGGGAAATCTGACTCGGGAGTATGGGGTTTCAAGATCTGGCACCTGGTGATCGTCAATATCACATCTGATACATCCAAGAAGACATACGATTGCTTGTGAACGTAGCTGAAATGAATAAGTTATAACTTATTCTCATACGCGAGATCGGTCATGGAAGTTGAAGAGAGATTTGTCCAAGAAAAATGCACGAATTTATGTACACTCGTCCGGTGGAAACGATCTGGTAGAGAACGGTTGGGGGCGCGTCACAGAGGGAGTATCTGAATCCACGAGGCGGCCATATTTTCGAATATTTGAAACCGGAGAGTTTCAACCTGTCTGCTGTCCTACCGACATCCATATATAAAAATTTACTACTGTATAACCAGTAAGCTGCCTCTGATTAGCAGGCTTCCTTATCCTCACAAGCTTCAGCCTTGCTACAGACTACTCATGGATGGGTGTCACCGCTGCTGTGAACTGAGCTTTGAAGTCGAGAGACGTGGGTCATAAGAGTATAATATAATGCTCACGACTTCTGATGGAAGATGGGTTTTCGTAGTCTTATCGTGTGCATGGGGCCCGACGAAGTGACCTTCTGTCGGGTTCTTCGTTTATCAGAAATATACCGACCTTGGACGACTGTGTACGTGAATATGTCACAAGGAGTTATCCTGCGGGATATCAAGCCTGAAAATTTCGCGATGGGCATCGGGGAGAAGTCTGACATCGTGCATTTATTCGACCTCGATTTGGCGAAGTTTTACGTCGATCCATCCACAGGAGTACGCGTCCTGTTCCGTGAAGGCCGCGTTGGACTGAAAACCCCGCGCTACGCGAGCTATAACGTACATTTTGGATGGGGTTGGTGCGGCGCAATCTAATTCCTGCTCGAGGCTGATGAGGAGCAGAAGGACGGCGAGACGATCTTGAAGCACTGCGAAACATCCTACTATATCTCTTGCATGGTCGTCTGCCTTGGCAAGGCATATACTCACCAAGCATCGAGGCCAAGCTACTTCAAATTAGTGAGACTCAAAGCTGGTTCAGCATTCCGAGACTTGCTTGTACGCTCACTTGTGGAACTCACGACGTACTTCGATCACTGCCGCGGTTTGAAGTTCGAAGACAAGCCGTATTACGCAATGCTGAGACAGTTGTTCGGCCAGATCATGGATAGGGAAGGGTACACCAGAGATACCAGGTTCGACTGGGTGGATGGAAGTTCCCAAAACGGTATACACTGGTGCCTGAAGACTATCACTGGGACATCCGATTCAGAGGGAGATGTATCCATGCTACAGTACCTGGGACCTTACTTTTATTGCCCGCAAAGTACTTGAATGCTGCACAAATGTCGCCCACTTCGAGGTCCTGGCGTTATGCAGACTACCTAGAAATGATGTGCTATATAAGTAGGTCAATTTCTTTGAGGTGAGAGACAAAATATCGGTGACCAATTTGCAACCTTGCATGAACGCAAATCATCTAGATTTCAAAGATCCTGTAGAGGAACCTTGTACATATATATGTACGCAGTGCCGTACCTCGTTGTATACATACCGCTTCGCAATGGTATCAGGTTGCCTTGTAGCCCTCATACAGCTTTGGCGAACCCAACAGCATTCTGACCGAGGTCATAAACTGTGTAGTATCGGCGGAGGAATACATCACCTGAAGGCACTTAATCAACAGCAAACCCGGGTAACAAATTTATCACATACCAATAATCCACAATGAACCTCCTCCAGGGGATTCGATATCCATACCCTCGAGCGAAGATATGCACGTGCCCTGATTCTCTATCACGTAATCGCTCCCCCTCAGTGTGAAGGGCTTGCCGCCGAAATAGAAGGTCAGTTCGGGAAGGGATTGGACTGTGGCACAGTTGACTTGGTAATAGTATCGACCGCGCAAGGATTGTCGGGTGGCGCCAATTTTGGCGTTGAACTTTGCGGCAATGTCGGTGGGGAGTCCAATGAGGGAGGTTCCTGTAGGTGATTGGTGAGCAGTTGGAATCAATCAAAAAAAGAGAGAACTTACCAGTGTCGATAGCAGCGCCTGTCATTTCAAGCTTTAGCTCATCGTCTCCTAATGCGACCTTTTCGAGCTCAACTTCCCAGTGTGCCTTGCTGCGCACAGGGGCGTAGGTGATATTGCCAGTGTATGCGCTGTGGTTGGTACCACCAAATGTGACTTCACCGCCGTCAGCCGCGGAACTACCGAGGCGGAAGGAGAAGACGGGCTCGTCGAGGAGACCTTGGTTGATCATGTTGTAGAAGGGAGGAGTGATGTAGTTGATGGAGATCGAATTGTAGGCAAGGCCGAGGATACCGTCGAACCTAGTTCACGTGTTAATCACGGTACGCTAATGCTCTAGAGCGAAATGCACGTACTTGCCGTCGGAGGAACCGGACTGTTCGGTTACCTCTGCAAATTCCTGGCCACGGATAGAGAGGTCTCCAATGCGGAAGACATCTTGGGAGACGTAGCCCTCCATGTGGCCACTACCGTACCCGATGGAGAAATCAGAGCCATTCGCCTGGTGGGTAGAGGAAGCACTGGAGTCGTACTTGGCGTGACGTTCGCACGCGACATATACGCACTCGGAGCTGGGGACCCAGAGGTTACTTGACCTAGGCATGGGTGAATCCTCGGTGTACAGTAAAGGCAATTTCCTTACCCAGTATCAAGGATAACCTTGAATACTTGAGGTGGAGTACCAAGTTCGATCTCGGTGTAATATTGAGCATTCTTGAAGTCTGGGAAGTGTGAATACGGCAGCACTGAGGAAGGATAGGATGGTACATACTAGCGAGGGGAACACTGTAGCCACCGTTGATGAACTCCGCTTCCTCGATCGGTGCACGAAAGTTACGTCCAGCGCCACCAGCACCCATCAAAGGGTGTTGCTGGTAAGAAGTCTGTGCACCATACTTTTCGGCTAGGTAAACGGTCTCAAGCACATGACCAGGCGAGACTTGTGGGGACTTGTTGAGCTTTAATTTGTGAACACCCGCTGAGGCGAACGGGAGGAAAAGGAGAGTGGTGGTGAGCTTGAACGTGGAGAGCAACATCGTTAAAGAGAAAACAGACACGACAGCAACAGCATCTTAAACGAGGGAAGTATCGAGTGCCCTGGCCCCTGGTCCAACACGGAGTTTTCCTGGTTCCGACATGTCATAGGTAGGGTCAGTTTCGGGCTCTAGCATGGGGGGGGGGGGGGGGGGGAGAGGGAGTGTCAAAAAGCCATCCCAGAGACGAGGGGACTCATGGGTAACAAGGGAGACAGGGAGGCGCCAGTAGTTCTAGCGACCGCAAGTACGATGGAAGAGTCAATGACCAAGGGTTTGCTCTTGGCGGGTGGTGCCTTCGGATGTCGTAAAAAGTTTTCATGGCATTCGCAGGGACACCCACCAATGCGGCAATTCAGTCACTTTCAGGTCCTGAGGCGGGAAATCTCAGCGGGGGACCGACAAGCATTGGCCCATCGGGATTCGAGACAGTAGTGTCTGTAAGTGAAGCTTGAGAACTGAGTCAAGGTCGGTCAGTGATAAATAGCTGGGTTTAAACCTTATTACCCGCTAGTAAGCCAACTTGAACATGTGAGGCAGCGAACGCACAAAGCAGCCTGCGCTCAGAAGACCAGGTCTACATACACGGCGATAGCGGGCGCATTTTGGTTATGTTATGTGGCCTGCCAGTGTAAATGACATATTAGATCATCATCATGATAGTCTTAATAAGGCCCCTTTTTCGCCTTGACTCTTGAGTTATGCATATCTAGATCCATTCTTTAATGCTTCGTAGCTAAGAGAGACGAAATAACGGTGACAGATTTGCAACTTGTCTTGCATGAATGCAAATAACAGATTTCAAAGATCCTGCAGAGATATTGATTCAAATGAGTGGATGGAAGTGCGCTCGGTGCTCGCTGCCCACAACAATATACATAGATTAGCGCATCAAGGATTAATTTGACTTTCACGCGCAGCTGTTGTCAGCCTCACAGAACGTATAATACCATGTCATAATTTCTGCCGAGACCTTTCCTGTCGTTCCCAAGTCCAGCCGATACAACAGTCACTGGGTGGCGAGCAGATATCTTGCCTCCAGATAAGTTTGCTGCTAAGCCCACCTGGACCCATAGGCTTATAACGATCAAAGACAGCAGAGTATGCTGTTCCTCCACCTCCAGCCCACTTTGGATTAAATTTATAAAATCACTAAGGGGACCTTGTACATATGTACGCAGTGCCGTACCTAGTGGTGTGTATACCCGCTTGTCGTGGTGCCAGGATGCGTCGTAGCCCTCATACAGCTTTGGAAAACCCAACAGCGTTCCGACCGAGGTCGTAAATCGTGTAGTATGGACGGAGGAACACATCACCTGAAGACACTTAATCAACAGTAAACTCACAGTAACAAACAGATCACATACCGATAATCCACAATGAACCTCCGGGTAATTTTATATCCATACCCGTGAGCGACGAGATGCATGTGCCCTGATTATCTACCACATAATCGCTTCCCTTCAGTGTGAAGGACTTACCGCCGAAATAGAAGGTCAGTTCGGGAAGTGATTGGACTGTGGCACGGTCGACTTGGTATAGACCGTTCGAGGAATTTCGTGTGGCACCAAGATCTCAGTATAATATTGAGCATTCATGAAGTCTGGGAAGTGTGAATATGGCAGTACTGAGGAAGGATAGGATGGTACATACTAGTGAGGGGGACACTGGCCACCATTGATGAACTCCACTTCCTCGATTGGTGCACGAAAGTTACGTCCAGCGCCACCAGCACCCTTCAAAGGGAGTTGTTGAGTCTGTGCGCCGTACTTCTCGGCTAGGTAAGCGGTCTCAAGCGGATGCCCAGGCGAGATTTGTGGAAGGTTGTTGAGCTTTAATTTGTGGGCACCCGCTGAGGCGAACGGGAGGAGGACAAGAGTGGTGGCGAACGCGGAGAGCAACATCGTTAAAGAGAAAAAGACACGGCAGTAACAACATTTTATTCCTTCTTATATGGGGGAAGCATCGGGTGCCCTGTTCCGACTCGGAGCCTTGC